GCAACAAATCACTGACAGTAGTGCAATACCTGCTTTTCTGTCTCTGTTTCACACCATTATTATTAAGGCTTCAATAAGCAGTGTATAATGATAAACATGCATTATTTACTTGAAAATACACTGGATGCACTATATACACACAAAACGGCACCAGCACCATGGGGAAAATACTATTATCCATTTTTAGCCACCTGCAATTCTATTCATAAATTCAGACTTTAAGGAAACAAGAGAGCATCTTACTTAACTTAACAGCTTTAACAATAAAAGCAGGCCCCTGAAAGTACTGAATTATCCCATTAGTTCCACCAGAGTAAAATGATACAGTCTATGTATGTGGTCTCTTCAGCCACATCTGTTATGGGCCATTTCGAAGTTCAGTCTCCCGCTGAGTTCAGATCACTTAATACTTCTATTTACTGTGTAAGCATTAGTCAAAACACAATTGTTTTTTTTCTGGTTTCTAATGAGAATTATCACAAATCGAACATGAATGAGAAAAACATATGTCATGCAAAATATTCTCACTAGACCTTAGTCATCATAATGTTTTGAAGAATAAAATGGCAAACAAGAATCAGCATTTAAACAGAAATTAGCAAAACAAATTTTAAACGAGTAGGAGTTTCTTAGTCTATAAGCACATGTCAGATGTCCAAGCATCAGAAGGAAAAACGTTACTATAATACAAATTACAAAAGACGATATGTACATCTTCAGCTCTTAACAGGTACCACACATTAAAAGGGTGGGGTTGGGTGTAGAGGTAAGACAATCCAAGAAAAGTTCATTTAAAAAAAAACTGACAGCTTTACTAATGGAGGAAAAGAAGACTAAAAAGTAAAAAAATGTAAAACGGGCAGTGTGAGGAAATAAAACGCAGGCACAAGTGGTTTAGGGAGCAAGTGACAGAAGCTGAGCTAAATCTTGTGTTTACACTGGGGATTATCTGAATGGATTGAGAGAGGCAAACTGAGCTACCCACGGTCAAGGGAACCTGCCGCTCTGTCAGCCTGAGGGCCAGAGGGACAAAGCACAGGCCGGGTAGGAAGTGACCCATAAACATATCGCTACAATGCTTTTATATAAAGCCAGTCTGCCTCCCACAAACCCCATATGACCATTAACTGGCCTGCAAGGCCTGCCAGGAGGCCTAATTACAGGTCTACAGAGCCCAATAACAAAAGCTGAAGAGCTTTAGCCGAGGGATGATCTGCTTTATACTGACTTGAGAGAGTCCATATAGTCACAAAAAAAGAAAGGGAGGAGGGGGGGTGGGGGGGCGGCTTTAAGGATCTCAAGAGACCCGAAAATAGAAGCTGAGGCTGCCAAACCGCACACAAGTGTACATAAGACGGGCTTAGGCATACCACTGTCGCAACATTAACATTCACCCAGCCCCTTGTTTAACATCTGCTCGCTCAGAGGACAAAAAAAAAATAACAGAGGAGGAGAGCTACTGTGTTCATTTATATTATGATACTGTATACTGCTTCAGATTTGCTAGAAAGTGGCAGAGAGGAAACAGGATAAGAATTGCAGTTCCTTGATTTATTAAATTATACCCTTTGTGAACAAGGGCAGACACTAATTCTCTATTGTATTCACATCTTTTTTTTCTGTATTTAGGGAGAAATGTAGCTGTTGATTACTTACACATATCAAATTGAAAAGCATGCCAAAAACTAAACTTGTCAGAGAAGAAGAGGGTTGTCTGGAGACAGAGGGCAAGCAAAGCAAAACTTCACAAACAATAGCACCTACCTTGTATTTCGGCAGAAAGTCTACCACTGTTGTAATTACAATTCAAGATGCAGTAACACTATATTCATGTAATACTACTCTACTGAATAACACAAAACATAACTGACCAGAGTCAGGGGATAACATATTTTACACAACATTTGAACTACAGAAGGCTTCACAGCTGAAACTCTCTCTTCTCTTTTCAGCATGGAATAAACCTATTACTTGTTCCTTTGCAGGCTACGCATGCTGACACAGCTCCCCACCTGAACTACAGCACGTATGGTTTGCTACCTGGATCATATGTGGAGCTAATGACTAGTGTCTGTCATAATGTGGCTGAGAAAATGGAAGCATTTGTAAACCTCTGAACCTCTACCAGTCTGGCGTAACTGGCTTTCTTTCAAAACTGAGTCGATCTTTAAAAAAAGTAGCTAAATTTAAATTAATATTCACTTCGGTCCTCGCTAAACACACACCAAAGACAGACTCTACAAAGTAGAGGTTCACCGTCTACCTATGTCACTACAGATTCAATTATTATGGTGTGGCAGTGTCATTTTTACACAAGGATGAGATGATATTACACTGGGATAATATTGTAGCAATAATGTCTTGACAGCATGTGATTAATGTGTTAACTTTGAGCATGCCCAGAGAGGAACTGGTTCTGAAACAAGGGGATTTTGCTTGAAGAAGCTTTGCCAGAGATAATTCCAGGACCACATGCCTGATGAGCTTCAGTCCCATTACTCCCCTACTAGCTTAAAGAACTAGAAGCCAGGGTAGCCTTTGAATAAGCTGGGAACTCCCTTTGATGAACCCAGGCAGGGCAGATTTTCCAAACAAAGCTTACACTGCACATGATGTCAGCACTTGAAAGTACTGAATTTCAAAATAAAGAATAAAGACATATACTAAAGTAAAATGGAACCATGATACATTTTATTTTAATGGGTTTTAAAACTTATTAAAGGGTTTGTAAATGTGATTGACTCCAATGATTACAAGTATTTGTTCAGCCCAGTATCACAAATGTCATGTTTGTAATTCCATTTCATGTAGAGATGCTTCCTACACTTCTTCTGACATTGGAAAACCAACAATAAGTTATTTATTTCAACTTGAGCTTTACAGAATAGGCCACAGGCATTTCTGGCTGATTAAACAAGGCTAAGACAAGTGGCAAAACAATTAAAGTTTATGTAGGTAAAAATGCAGTCCTTTTGACATAAAATTTAACCTTCTGCAATGACATCAGATTTATATTGTAAGCAATCTTTAATTTACATGCGTATATACACCACACACAGTACCCATTCACACGTGATTATCCTCTGTAGGGCAGCTGCCCTTTTCACACTATTGCTGATCAAGAACTAGAAAAAGTATTACATAAACATGCATTACTCAACTTCAAATTTCAAAACAAGGCTGGTGAAATCATAAGCATATTAGCAAAAGGATGGAAACTGTAGCTAAACCAGCCTCTCAGCATGACGTAGGGCAACACACACACGCCATGTAGACCCACTCTCCAGATTTCAAGAACAGTTTTAATGAAGGTGCCATGTGTTTAAAATGTCTTTCAAAATCCATAGGTTCCTAGCAAGGATGATGTATAACTCCTGTTACCTTTAATATGCTTCCAAACCTTAAAATTAAAAAATGAAGGTTGACAGCTGTGAGCAGTATAAACAACTTGTGTTTTTTTGAGCTTCAGGCTGTCACATCTGTTTTGTAATTATACACTTCAAAGATGTGGCGAATAATATATACAATTTAAATAATGAAATATGAGACTGTTTTGGTTTTGTCATTTGGAAAATAACATAAATGGTAACCAAACTACGAGCACACATGCATTGCCTTGGAGCCTGAAGTTCGATATTACTTGGCAGGGTGTCAACAATTAATAATTACTCTTAAGTGCAACACTAACCAGAGTTATTTATGGAAACCGAGACCCACAGTTGCGACTATTCAGTGTGAACGAAAAGCCCAGATAAAAGCTGCCACGCAGGAACTGAAGGTGTGGTTATCACATGAAGTTAACCTGGCTGTTCAGCAATACAGCTCCATTAAAAACGGTCCCTTAGGGACGCACAATCTTCTGAGCCCATAAAGCTTGGAAGTGTAACTAATAAATGTAGCACGTACTGTATGTTTATTTAGATTCTGTACATGTTTAAAAAATTGAATATTTGGTGGTACCTTCCCACTCCACCCAATGGTTAGTAATCTACTATTATAGATTTTATATTGAAGTATATGAACTGTCCACCAAAATGAATTTATTAATGGGATGAAGATGAAACAGTACATGGGCAATTAGCAGACAGTTTTTGCTTCGCTTTTTAACTCACTGGGAAAGCAAAACAACCCAAACATGCACTGAAGAGGAATGGCACTCTGCTGTTCCTTTTGGGAGGAAATGTGATATTTCACCAAAGCATTTCAGAAAGCTTTCTCTAAACACCATTTCAGGCTTTATCTTCCTTGTATGTGCAAAAACATTCTATGTCCATGATCAATTGATATAAGGTTGAGTGGCCTTTTATAAATTTCAGTCTTTCCTAAAAGTATCAAAATGCACTCCTTTTCAAACACTTGTGAAAAGGTGAACACAATGTTTTGTTATAAAAGTATATTAGTCAGCTACATTACTCATAAAATGCAATCCATCTTGACAAGGAAGAGGAAGGCAGTGTTTAAGTTGCTAATGAACTAGAGAGCTCACCTGTGGACAACACATTAGCTCTCTGCTCTGGTTTCAGTGACAAGGATTCTACACTTACTCATACTGATGGTGGAGTGGAATGCTGGAAAGGCTACTCTGAATAAACAGAATTCAACTTGAAGACATTTTCTCTAATTGTCTATAATTCTATCCCAAATTCGCTGAGACTGGAATCCCAATAGACTGGTATATAAGTAAACTGTACTAATGTGTTGCTCATTGTGCATAATGTTCTACATACGTTTGTAATGTTTATTATTTTGCTATGTTACATCTGGATTAAATGTGTGCTAGGAAAAAAAAAACAGAAAGAAATTCATTCCAATCTTATGAACCTACTCTTGTATGTAGGATAATGTGGTCTTGGATTTAAAAAATGTCTTTATTCCTTGATACAAGTACGGTATCTTATACACTGGAATACATAACAGCATATTTTGTTTAGTCTCATTATTACTTTCAACATATCAAGTATCATAGAAATGACAAGAACATTTATAAATTATAATATTACCTGCAGCTTGCAGAACCAGCTGTAGTCTTGCTTTGGCCTGTTCAGCAGGGGTCTAAAGAATGACAAAAAAAAAGTTTAAAAATGTAAATCGCAAGATTACATCTAATTTAATGAACATGTAAAGGGATTTTCCTTTCTAAAAAATAACTACCAAAGGTCAGAAAGTTGACCCATCAAAGTATAAATACATTTCACCAACAAGAACTGTGGCTATGTGAAAGTTTGAATTGTAACTTAATGTCCCCGTCAGAACAGAAATATTAGGCACCTCATTTTAGTACACTGAAAACCTTGGCTTGAGACTATCGCAGTAACTATACTGTAAGGACGCACAGTGTGTCCTTAAGAATAACCTGTTTATGTTGTACACTACACAAACCCAAAATACATAAAAGCATTGTTCACTGAAGATATGCCCCAGGAAAGCAGGATAAAGGCCTTATCAGTAGAGTCTATCTAGTTACCATGCTGTGTGTTTGGAGAGACAGATGATAAAGTGCACACATTAAACAAAACTTTCAATTTCCAACCTTTAGAGTCAACACAGTGATTATTAAAACACAGACTGACAGATAATTAGGGTGCAAATTATCTATTAAAACTACAGTTATGACTATGACAATTGATCCCATCCATCAAGGCATGTCAGCAAATAAAATTTCACATAAAATGTCAAAGTAAAAGTTAAAATATCCCTAGTGCTACAGTATTTTTTTAAAGAGCGCAATCTTGCCAATAAAACAATGTCACCTGAATTAATTAACCTAGAAACTTAAGCTAAAAGAATCTCAAATTCTCTTTAAGTCTGACTTACAAAATAAAACATTCAAAGAGTATAGCATAGCATGTCAGGAGTATGCTAGAAACAACTAAATGTAGCTATTTAAATGTCATCTTAAAATAAGAAACCAGGGATGTACAAGTAAAGAAAAAAATAGTTATAATGGGGGATTTTAATTTCCCTAAAACAGACTGGGAAAATCTCAGTGGAGACATCAGCAACTAAAACTGAAATGCTACACCTGGTGACTACTTTCTCACCCACTTTATTAAACACTTATAATAGAGAATATAGCTTCTATAAACTCATTTATTGTACAGTATATTAATTGGTCACCAAGCATATAAAAAAAGATATGACTGACATGGAATCAGTCCAGAGAAGAGCAACCATATACATTCTCAGGTTGAAAGCAATGCCCTACTCTGAGAGGCTAAAGAAAACAATCTTTAACAGTAGGACCTATCTTTACCAACCTTAAAGGCGCCTAGGGAACAAAATTTAAACATTCAATATCCTCAAAGACAATGACAAACTAACCCAATGGACTTTTTCAAACATGAACCAGAGGACACAAACAGAAACTCCATAAAAGTACATTTAGAACGAAGACGAAGAGTAACTTTCTTTGCAAGTGCCTTGTGGAAGTCTAAAACAAGCTACCTAGTCATCATGATGAAGCCAATTCACTGGCCTGTTTCAAAAAGCAGCTGGATGAGAACCATAGGTACTTACAACCAAGAAACTAGATGTATGTTTGAAACGTTTCCTATGCTTAGTTGCACATCTCCTGTTTTTTGGCATTATTATATTTAAACAGATCTCCTTTGTCTTCCAATACAGAGGCTGTCTTCTGCTTCGTCCTTTGCCGTTTCCTTGAACTGCCTGCCTAAAACCTGATGCTTCGTTTTTTGGGGGGGGGATTTATTTTTATCCTGTTATAGGACCATGGTCTCATACACAAAATGGCTACTTTCCCGTATGGGCAGCTTCTATGAAAACCAAGAGAAAACATCCCTGCTATCTCGGTAATACCAATTATATGCTACTATGTGATTTCTTGTAAAGCCAAGCAATCTGTCAGAAGTGTATTCTCCTATGTATTTCTCCCATGCTGAGGATGTTGTATCACTTCATAGATTTCTCAGCTCTAGCACTATTTGATCCTCAGCACCATAACTCAAAAATAGCATTAAATAGGTCCGACTGTTTCACAGCAGCATAAAGACACTTCAAGCAGATTGAATCCGCACAGGCACTACTAACACCCAAAGCCTGGGAGTTCAATCAGTGATAAATAAATATGATCATGCACACACATCGTTTACCATTAATTATTTTACTCTGTAAGACTATTTTAAGAAACTGCAACACAAAATATCACAGAAAGATACAATTTAATCAAGAAGAATCAATCCGAATGAAGCTCTAAAACCCAATTTGAGGCTTTGCCCTAAAGACAAAAAATAAAATCAGAACTATTAATTTCATGTGCATGATTACTATTACCAACACACTGACACTGAATACTTTAGTTAAGCCTGAAATTCAGAAGAGAAACACAAGTAAAAAAAGATTATATTAAATAATAAGGAACTATTACCGATATCTGTGTTATGCGTAGCATTTAGTGCTGAAGGGAAATAAGTTGAAAACTTAAAAAACGCACAACAACGAAGGAAGATGAAACATTAGGACGTTAAAAACAAGGACAGAGTGGGATAACAGCTACATCCGAAGGCATCGCTGCTTTTTGACACACCTCAAAAGGGTTTGGTGTAATTCCAATATCCCACTATTAGATTTGAGGGTATTAATTGTCAAGAAAGAAGGATTGTTTCGTAAAGAACTTATAAACCTCGCCTGCTATAGATTGCTCTCACTGCTGGGGAGTTCTTATAATGCTGGCATGCTGGCTGTGTAGGATTAGAAAGAAATTAAATGCTAATAGGATCAAATTTGAATGTCGTGCCTTAGAATATCATTTAAACAATGCATTGCATTGCGGCATCAATGACAGTGTGGCACATATTATTCAGCATAAATTTGATTTATCAAACTGTAAACTTGTCACTTTGTAAAAATGTCAGTTTTCAGTGGCAGCAAGAAAATATAATGACCCACTTTAATGTAAAACTGTCACTCTCCTATATCTTCCGTTAGAAACAAATCACAGTTTTAAAAACACAGGTTTTCCACCATCAGTGCTTTCCTTTTAAACATCCAATTCTTATCAGTCCCACTGCAATGCGCTAAAATGTTCCACATCTTATTCTAGTTTAAGTAAATATAGTTTTAAAGCTGTATTATGTTTTAATTGATCTCACCACAAAAAACATTAATATGATTTTACGAATATTAATTTTACACTGCAGAAATAACAATATAAACATACTCCACATGAAATAATTGCAATATGATGCAATTATCTGGGCTATAGACTATTATAAAACTAGTCCCATTATTATGTTTGCATTTGTTTACAATGTTCTCTAACACATGTCATGATACACCATATGATGTATATTCTACATTTGTATTAAAAAAATGGAAACTTCTAATTGGTACTATTATTAAGAAAACTGAGTTGTTTATTTCATAAGATGACAAATGATTACAGTATATTGGTCTGGATAAACACCTCAAATTATGAAAAGGACATTTCTGCCAAAAAACGTCTGGCACAAGCAGTCAAACTCTGTCACTTACCAACCTCAGATTAAGAACAAGCAGAGATACAATTCACATTAAGCACGGGCTAGTCTCTACAATTCCAATAAATTAAACAGAAACAAGACATTCTCGATGTATGAACCCAAGCAAACCATTCCCTGTGGCACTTGGCTGCCTGGACACTTATATACAATCCTGCTGAAGTCAAATACAAAATGGTCTTCAAATCTGGATGTTGTTAAATTCTCATTCTTACACTGCATTAAATACCAATAACTTTTGCTAGGGATCAAGGTTTTCATCACAGGAATTCTCTGCTGTGGCATGTGATGTATAGACTATTATATTAAAGTAAATTTTAATCTATTGCAAATTATGAATCCCAATTAAATGCGAAAAATGTCCGTCATCAACCACCGCTGCAAAAATAAATTTCAGCAGAAATTCAAAGTCCTTTTTTTTTACCACCACCTCTTTGTCTACATGTGTTCATATGTCCAACACAAGTTGCAACATCAGTTTGACCTAGTCTCAGACGTTGAAGATGTTTCCATTCACAGGTTATGGGATCCTGAAGTGTCTACAGCATACAGAGGGGACAATTGCCAACTCACTTTCCACTGAACCATGCTGGGCTGTCAGATCCTTCTGTCTTTCTCCCTCTGGGAGCCCCACAGTACCCACAGAAGAGCGAGTAGCAAGAGCACAGTTGATTCATCTCTCACTGACAGCACTCAAACCGGCAAGGGAGCAGGTAAGCTCCAGGCAGGAGTTACACGGACCAGAGAAACACTGGACAACTCAAGTCTAACACATGCCACCAATTGGACTTTCCCAGTAAAAGCAAGCAAACAACTTTGACTCAAATCAAAACAGTAACACCTGGACATGTGAACTGCCCTGTTGCTGGATAAGCCACTAGGGAGTCCCCTTTTTACATTTCCTTTGGTGTAAAAGAATACCAACTGTTACACACTATTTACTGCCCAGGCCTGACATCTTCTAAGACTATAGCCTTCACAATTGTAGATAATGATAGTAACCAAACCACATATTACAACATGATAATAAGAGAAGCCGTCAGATACAGGAAAAAATGCTCATTTACTGTTTCAAAGCGCTGCTGTGGAATAGGCCCCGTACACATCATGTCATCTGTAAACAAGCCTCAGGCACCTTTAAAAATAAGGACTAACAACTTTTGTAATTAGCATTTAATATGTAACAATCCTAAATGCATATACAATCCTACAAAGCTACCATGTCAATTTATATTGGAGTAATAAAATAATTACTGTAGGGAAATATGTAAAATATAAATAAGAAGTGTGACATCATAAAAGATAAAAATGTTTTTCCTATACATTTCAATTTTGTTATCAAGATGTAGAAACAATTATTTAAAATCAGATTATTTCACGTGCACCCCAGACTTAAAAAGACTACAGACTACAAAACTCACTACTGATTGACCCTCAATATGCAATATGCCCCAAAGGGAAGTTTTTACTTAACTTTAAGCTGCTCCTGTTTTTATCTGAATATTTTTCTAATTTTATTTGGCTGAAAGAAGAAGTCTTTTTGTTCTGTGTTAGTTT